GAAATGTTTAGACTTGGACCAAGTTTTTCTTTTTCTCCCATTTTATTTTTGTTATTTTTGTTTAATTGCCCCCAATTTATAAATCAGATTTAAAAAAAAAACACACTGAAGATAAATATTTRTTATGTATCTTTCAAAAGTGTACTCCAGCAGATTAAATCATAACTGCTGCAGAGGTGGGAATAAAGCCACACAATATTGCTGGAAAAAATAATGTGCGTGGCCAAGAATGCAGTTGCACATGAAAACAGATCATGATTTTCAAAAAAAACTGGCCTCTCAAATCATGGCCGCACACTCGGAGTTCAAAGAGACGGCAACAGAAAATTCTTTTTTTTTTTGCCACCAACTAGTCTTCCAACTGTTGCAGCTCAGCGAGCTACCACCTTCAGGGTGATTTAAAACAAAGGTTTGAAGAGAACCACTTTCATCTCATTCTTGAGTGTGAAACAAAGAGAACGAYGCACAAAGGCGTTATCTCAGGCTGCAGTTGTGTTTCCAAGCCCGTCCTTGGGAAAGTGGACTGATGAACTTTTACGGGGCCAAGGTTGTACTGTTAAGCCTGGATCACAAGCTTATAGCTGTTAAACACACACACAAACACGCGCACACACACACACACAAACGGTTGAAATGAGATCAGGAGGAATCAATTGTTTCAGAGGCAGAACCAAATTAAGCAGCGCTGAGCTGCTCTCATATTTATGTGGCACCTCCAAGCTCTTGTGAAACAGCAGCTTGGCGTCAAAACACAGAAATCAATAGCAGTTTTCAACCTGCTAATCTAAAACATTTACTCCAGGAAATGCGAGAGCCCGTGTCCTTGGTCAAGAGCTTGCTCAGATGCAGCCAGAAGTTGGTAGGAAAATCTTTAATATCCCCCCGTCTTTTTGTYATATTAATACCTATAGCTCAGCTTGGTGTCCGTTAAGCTGCAGATAAATGATCCACACGATTGGTCCTGAGATGCTGAGCTGATATTGATCATTATCTCCCACACTGCCAAGGCCCCCCTCGGCACCCACCCACCACCTCCTGTGGCCTTAATCTGAGTAAAACAAGATAATTGTCTGTGTTATCAGTTGATAATTTACTCCCTGCGCTCAGCTGAATATCTGTGAGCAGATATAATGAATCATGAGGATCTAAGCACGTGACGTCGGCCCCCACTCTCGTACCATCTGATGCCGTGTCGTTGCTTTACTTTCTGTAGGCATCGCCCCCAGTGAGAAAAGTCACACGAGTGTTTCGGTAATTGTTTTCCACTCGATGCCCTTCCTGACACAACCTGGGCTCAAACCCGCAGCCTCAGGGGCCTTTTTAACAGAGCTGGTTTTCAGTGAAACCGTAACGTTTTTTGTTGCGAACCAGCCGCTGATTTCAGACGCCGGTGTTTAGACTTTTTGAAACTTGGTCTCAGAGTGGAACTTCTTGGTAACACCCACCGGTGTTCTTTGTGATAGTCACTCTTTGCAGCATGAGAGAGCAAAACCAAAAAGCGTTCTAGATCCGAAAGAATGTTAGTTTATTCACTAGTTGGCAGCTCTGTGTGTCATTGGTTAACACTGATGCCCGTAGACCTGTGGTCTATCTGTGTGGAGTTTGCGTGTTCTCGTGCTTGCGTGGGTTTTCTCCAGGTGCTCCGGTTTCCCCCACAACACAAAAGGTTACATTTACATGTACAATAGGTTGCCTTCAGTTCGACAGAGTATAAGGGCCACACAACAAGATTTTTTAAATTATTATCACGAGCTTAAAGTCATAATTTTACGAGAATAAAGTCATAATATTACAAGATTAAATTTGTAATATTACAAGAAAAAAGTTGTAATCTTACATTTTCTGTTTCTCATTTCCTCATTTTCCCCACACCTGCTGTGTACAACCATATGTCTGTGTTTATAAAGTAGTCCATGATAACTTTGGTCACTGTTAGATTAATTTGTTTTCATCCAAATTAGCTACGTGGCGACTAAATCTGCCAATGCATCCATTA